TGTCCTTGATTCTCCAGCTGGAAAGGAATTGTTTTGTCCCTGCCCTGAGAACAGAACTCACCAACACCTGACATGAAATTCCAGAGTCACACAGCAAGCAGGAGAGATTCTGGAAAACAGAAAACAGAATAAAACCCAAAGCATCAGGGGGAGGCAGGGAATTGCAGAGGGAAGGGAAGGTTCAGCCACGGCTCCAGTGACACCCCAAGGCCACGGGGACACCCCTGGATTTGGCCCCATGGATGGATCCTGATATTCCCAGCCTGGCACACTGACATCTCCTGATTTATATTTTCACACTGACATCTCCTGATATGAATCCTCAGATTGACATCTCCTGATTTCCATTTTCACACTGACATTTTTCTGATTTACACTTTCACATTGACATTTTCTGGTATAAATTTTCAGACTGACATTTTCTGATTCATCATTTCAGACTGACATTTTTCTGATTCACCATTTCAGACTGACATTTTTCTGATTTCCACTTTCACACTGATGTTTTCTGGACCCCTTTTTTTATTTTCAGAGAGGTTTTTCAGGAGCAGTCTGAGCCCTGGGTGTGCCTGGGAATTGTTGGCTCCACACAGGAGCTGGGAATGTCCCTCCCCATGTGGGCTCAGGACTCCCAAACTTCCCTGGATCGAGGCTTTGCTCCACTAAATTCAGATTTTTCACACTCCCCCTTTGCTCCAGGGCTGCCCCAAACCCTGGTGGTGTTTCCCATCACCCCCATCCCATTTTTATTCCAAACTCTGGGATGGTTTCTCACATTTTCAGTCACCCAGGAAGGAAAATTCCGTTTGGATCATTCCCATCTCCCTTCCCAATTCCCTGCAGATTTCCAGTCAGACAGTGACAGCTTTAACCCCACTCTGTGGGAGGAGCAGAGGCAGCAGAGGATGACTGTGGCCTTCGAGTTCGAAGACAAGAAAGAAGAGGAGGAAAATCCAGGGAAAGTCAAGGTAAGAGCTGCTGGATTTATTTTGGGACTCATTTTTTATGGACAGGGTTCAAAATGTATTGCTTGAACTGGGTTTGTGTTTTAATGGAAGATTCCTGCTCTGTCCCAAAGGGAATTGAGACAGAATTACTGTCCAGCCTATTCTTTTTTTAATTATTTATTATTTTTATTATTTTATTATTATTATTTATTTATTTTTTAAATTATTATAATATATTATATATATTATATATTTATTTTTTTTACTCTATTTTATTTATTTTTATTTTTTATTATCCAACCAAACAAAATTCTTTCAGGAATATTTGAATCCCCCACAGGGGATCCCTTATTCCTCTCAAAGCAGAAGTCAAGGAGGGCTTTGCAGCCTCGTGGAATGTGCACTGGAGGGGGCATCACTTGTAAAAAAAAAAAAAAAAAAAAGCTCAAAGCATGAATTTCCTCCCCCAGTTTTATGAAATTAATGTCATTGCAGAGTTCTCCATCAATCCTCAATCAGCTGCATTGTCAGGAGGATTTTTTTTCAAACCTGTCAGCCTTTGCAGGGCATGGAAATGTTTTTTTCTTGGATAATATAAAGGAATTATCCCACACTTCAACCCTGCAAATGTCCAAAGTAAAATGCAGGGTCAGAGATAAAATCATCTGAGGAGATTTAAATCGGATTTTTACTTCTCGAATTAACAGTTCCCTTGTCAATAGCAATTGAACATTCCATTGAAAACTTGGTGGAATTTCTTGATTTTTCTTTCCAATATTTTTCCCATTTGGGAATTTCTCTCCAGCTCCCGTGCCCGGAGCTAATGGACTGTGCCAAAAGCACCTCACAATAAATAGATTAAAGTGGAATTTTACCCTGGATGAATTGCAGCTTTATGGGAAAGTTTTGCATCCAGGAAAGTTTTCTGTTGTTCCACAACTTTTATCAGAATTTTCCCTGGGGGGGGTGGAGATTTCAACATGAACATTTTTTAGCAGCTTCACCAGAGCTTTTAAGGGATGCATTCAAATAAATTTAAATCCTCAACAGGCAGCAACCACCACCACTGCAGCGTTTTATAAGAGCAGAAGAAGTTTTCACTTTTTTTTCTCTCATCAAACTGAACTTTCAGCCACACGGATGTTAAAACAGATTTGGGCACTGGGATTGTCCAATAGGTTTTTTTGGGTTTTTTTTTTTTATCCATGGAGGATTTTGAACTTTGAAAATTCTCTCTTTGGGGTCAGGCTGCTTGGGATGGGACCGGGGAGAGAATCCAAATTTCCTGTGGGATGCTGAATGTGGGTCAGGGAGGGAGAGATCCACACCCCAGTGCTGTCCCCCCACCGCAGCAATTTGATATTAAAGCTGCCAGGGAGGTGAAATTCCTGCTGAAATCTCTTTTTTTGGGGGGTTGTCTGTCTGTCTGTCTGTCTGTCTGTCTTCAGCTCCTTCTCCCTGCCTGGAATTCCTGGGGATTTGCACCCAGTGCCTCTCGGGGCCATCCCCAAACTCCATTTCATTAGTGCTGCTCCCCAGGCTCGATTTTTCTCCTTCTCTTGGAATTCTTTATTAAAAGTGACATCCCCCTCATAGATTTCAACGTTTTCTCTTCTTCTCCCTGATTTTTATTCTCTCCTGGTTCGGATCTGGATGCCAGCACTCGATGCAGTTTTATTTCCCAAATCGATCATGCTTTTTTGCCTCTGAAATATTCCTACAGACAGATCATTTCCAGCTGAATCCAAAAATTGCATTTTTTTCCTGCTCGTTGGGAATTTAAATCCAGAATCTCTGGCAGGGAGCTCTTAAACTCAGCTCACCTACACCACGAGGTAAAAGCTGCTGGGTGCTTAAATTCCAGATCCTTCATCACCGGCAGGAATTTGGAGTTTCCTGACACGCTCTGGGAAACTTGGGAAGTTCAGATGTGGGGTTTTTTCCAGGAAATCTGTGGGTCTGGCAGTCAGGGAAAGCTCAGCCAGCCCTTGGGGACTCCCTGGAGAGCTCTGGGGGTGTTTCCCTGTGCCAGAAAAGAGCCACAGACACCCGGGTGAGTGCGAGCATCATCCATCTCCAGCAGCAAATGGCTCCCACAGGATCGGATCCCGCTCTCGGCTGCCATCCACAATTCAGATTAATCGAGTCCACGGAGCGTGGCTGAATTAATTCAGCATTTACAGCAGGGTTGGTGGGGAAAGCCTGATGGGATGTGTCAGATTCCCCACGCCCTGCCAGGCCGAGATGGGCTGGCAGAGATAAATTCCCGTCCTTTATTTTATGTCACTGGGATTGC